AACACCTTGAGCTAATGAGCTCCACCCAATCACAACATAATCATTTGTTTATTTTATTTTAAGTGCGTTGGCTAAGTAGAAGAAGGTCTGTTGCACTTAATAACAACAACAATAATGATTATATTATTCAAAGATACTACTAATGAATCTAATGGTTATTGTATCAAACTTGCATTGAGGAATGTGCTGGTTCCTTGGTGGAGTGAGGTAGTTCTGCCCGTCCTTGTCCTCCCAGCTGAACTGAGACGGGAGATCAGCAACATTAAGGTAAGTGTGTGGCAGTGGATCAGTTATCCTTTCCCCATGCTCGAATGTAGCTGTGCAGGGGAACAAAGAAAACAGAAAATTAATTGTTATAAAGTAGATGCTTCATTGGGCTACACACTTTTCTCAGTCCTGCAGGGACTACTAGCAGCTGCTGCCTGGAGGAGAGCGAAAGAGAGAAGAGCTAGAGCTAACAATGACCTCATCTTGATTTGAAGCAAAAATGTGCTGCAAAGAATGATAATAATGAATTTTTATACACGTTCATGTATGGAGATGGGTGGGGCTCAAAGTTAAATTAATTGGTTTTCCGTATATTTTTAGTGTAACGGAAAATGCTTTTTTTTCAGTAGGCAAAGGAATGAGAGAAGTGACTCACTTTTCTCCGTATATTTTTACTAATAATAGAATGGGAGGATCTATGGCTCAGGTGGGTGGAGCTTAATAAAAATGGCTTCCATTGAAGAGGATGATATTCCAGAGCTGGTTCCTCTCTCCTTTCCTAAAGATGATTCCTCTCGGCAAGAGAAGGAGAGAGAGCCTCAGACTAGTAGAAATAAAGTACCAGTAACAATAATAACTGGATTCCTAGGTAAATGAACAGAATAATGAAGAGATTATTGTGTCATTCTTCACAAGGAGCTGGTAAAACCACATTATTGAATTATATACTAACAGAACAGCACAACAAGAGGATTGCAGTGATACTCAATGAGTTTGGGGAAGGATCTGCTGTAGAGAAGTCAATGGCAGTGGGTCAGTCTGGGGAACTTTATGAAGAATGGCTGGAACTGAGGAATGGATGCCTCTGCTGCTCAGTGAGGTAATGATAATTGATATAAAGGTGGAACTACTTGTAATCAGTATATTAATGATATATTGGTTAGTCAATGCTTTTAGCTAATAGTTAATGATAAAGATCCCTCACCGAATTTAGCTCACATAAAATACGACTGACATATTAACACTCAACCACTTCCCTTGTAGAGATGCAGGAGTGAAGGCAATAGAGAATCTGATGGAGTATAAAGGAAAGTTTGACTACATTCTCCTGGAGACCACAGGACTGGCTGACCCTGGACCCATTGCTAGTATATTCTGGTTGGATGATGGACTTGGGAGCAGTTTAATACTTGATGGTAATAAGGAATAGCAATAGAGCATTGTGTTACCAATACATCTACATGTACATATACATGTACTTATGTTGTGTAGAAAGTTTGAGCTTATTCCGATCAAGTTTGGATTTTTTATGATTTTTTTAAATTGCTCCAAAATCGGACAAAAGTCCC